TTCTAATTTCAAATTAACTTTTTTTTCACAAATATCCTTAATTTTTGAAATTGTGCCTTCTCTCATTAATATCAACAAATATTTATAAAATCTTTTCAGCAATTTTTTCTTCCAAATTTTATTTACAAAAAGTTTTTCTTGCTAATCTTATATCCTTATAGCATAGCCATGTTAATTCATTTCAAATTTTAATAAAGTTTAAATTGAATTGGTGAGAAAAGATTTATATGCTACATATTTCTTATTATTTTTTTTTCAGATTACAATATTATTTGTTAAGTGTTTTTGGACATTTAATAATTTATAAAAATTTTGTTGCTAAACAACATTTATTTATTTATTTTTTGAAAATGCAATCAAAATTTACTCAAAATTATTTAAAATTCAAACGAAAAAAGCTATATATATATATGTAAGTATATCATTTAAAATTATTTAAAAATTTTTACAAAATATTCAAAATTTATAATTTTATTTCAAATTTCTAGCAGAAAAATAATTCAATTTTTGCAATGCTATTCAAATAAATAGCAGCCAAATTAATTATATTAGCATGAATTTAATATAATTTCAATTTGAATAGAAGCAAATAAAATGTATTTTACTAGTTTTGCAATAAAAAAAAATTTTCCTTTTTACGTTAATAAAACATTACAGAATTTCCAATCTTTCTTTTTTTTTTTTTTACAAATATTTTTATTCCTTTTTTACATTTTATAGAATTTCATGCATTTTATAGAATTTTAGCCAAAGCAAAAAAAAAAAAGTAAAAAAAAACTAAAACAATTTTTCATTTTTCTTTGCATCCCTCTCTCTCTCTCTCTCTCTCTCTTTCAATTTTTAATGAATAAAACCATTAAGACTCATTTCAGAAAAAAAAAAAAAAAAAAAAAAAAAACCTTAAATTTTCCGGATTACTGATTAAACGATTTTGTTTCCAATTTACTTTCTCCTCTCATATCTTCTGCTAACCTTCCCGCTATTTCCCCGCTATCGCTCTATTTTTCATTATTTCATTCCTAATTTCACTTTTGCCCATTTTTATCTTTCGCTTCATATTCCATTGGGAACAATTTATTTAGTCATTTACCCATTTAACTTTCATTTTAGGCAAATTTTTTTTTTTCCTTTTTTTTTTTGTTCCTTTTTGCCTTTAAAACCACTCTTACATTCATGTTATTTTCCATAAAAAAAACTTTTTTTTTTTACCTTTTCCTTCTTTTTTTCCTTTTTTTTTTTGTTCAAAAAATTTTTCTTTATAATATTAACCATAAATCATTTAACTCTTTTGAATTTTTCTCTCTCTCTCTCTCCCTCTTACCTCTTACTATAAAATTAAAATGAATTTTTTTTATTTTTTTCAATTAGGAAATTTTTTAAAAAAGAAATAAATTTGCTTCGGTTATAATTTATATATGAATTGTATATCATATTAAATTAGAGATTTTATTCAGTAAAAAAAGAAAAATTAATTTTTTGTTTATTTGCAAAAAAAATGAAGAATATTGTTTATTTGTTTATTGTTTTGTTTATTTTATTTATTTATTTCTTTTTTTGCTGGAGAAAATTTGTATTGAAGCATTAATATACATATAAAAAAAGTAAATTAATAGTTAGATAATCGTTATTCAACTACTAATAATAATTATTATTATTTATTGTTCAAAAATTTCATAAAAAGAATTAGTCAAAAATGGAAAAAATAAAAAAAAAAAGAAATATAACCTAATATTTAATTGGAAATTTTTTTAAGTCTAACTAATAACAAACTCTTTATCTTTTTTTCTTTAATTTAATTTTTTTCATTTCTAATTCTTTAATATGAAATTATTATCACTTAAGCTGAGCTATTATTACTTTTATTATGTCATATTTAAGTTATTAATTTAATCTTTTTCATTTCTAATTCTTTAATATGAAATTATTATCACTTAAGTTTACATTTATTATGTCATATTTAACTTATACTTTTATCCTACACTACTATTACCATTATCACTTACTCCTCTATAAATATCAATATTTTATTTTTGTTATCACTTATCATGTTTAACAAGTACTTTAGAATTTTTACTTTCAATTCTTAATTAATTTATTGTATTATAAAACTTTTTAACATCACTTTAAACACTTATTAGTATTTATTATATTGCATTTAATTTCAAAAAAAAATTTTTTTATTTAAAAAAAAAAAAAATTAAAATAAAATAAAAACGATATGTTTTATGCTTTCCAATGATATCATTAATTATTAAAGTTTTATTAATCAAACGAATGTCATATGTTTTATCATTTTTGAAAAAAAAAAGCTGATTATTACTTACCAAATGATGCATGAAATTTATTATTGACTTTCTTTCCCTTTCATTCTTTTCTTTTAATTTTGTTTTTTTTTTTTTTTTTTCTGCCAAACTTTTTTCTTTAAATGTTTTATGAAAATATTTTCAAATATAAATAAATGTTTTACAAATTTGCTAATTAATTATCGTAGTTTTAAAAATTTTTTTTTTCTTTTTCTTCAAAAAAAAAAAAAAGAATTAATTAAAAATTTATCAATATTACATTTTTAATTTTTGTTAAAAAATTAATGAATAGAATTGAAATTTTTTACATCAAATTTTTATTTTATGCATATTTCTTATCTTTTTTTTTTTTTAAATGATATTTGAGAAATAATTTATTCCATTTTAAATAACAATATGTCTGTCATTTATTATAAAATGTATCATTAATTTTTATGCAATAACATTTTATCACTTTAAATCATTGTAATATTAATCGTAGTTTTTTTTTTTTTTTTTTTGTTAATTAAATTAGTTAATAAAAAAAAAATTAATAATAGAATAATAATTTGCCATATTAGATTAGTTTAGTAATTAAAAATAAATTAAAAAAAAAAGTACAGTGATAAAAATTTTGTTTGTAGAATATTACGAATTAAATTTTTTTAAATTTTAAATCATTTTAATAGCTATAAAACAATAAAAGTTATCTATTTTAAAATTTAAAAAAAAATTTTAATGAAAAAAAAAGTGTGCAAAAATAAATTAACATTGCACAACAAATAAATGAATAATTTTTATAAAAAAAAAAAACGAAATATTAAATATGACGAAGTGAAAAGACAAAAATCAATTATTATAATAATAAAACAATTTACATTTTTTTTTTTTTAAAAAAAATTAAAGAACAAAAATTTTAGCAGAAATATTTGTTTTTTTTTTTTGCATTTGTTACATTTCTATCACAAATTTTTAGATTGTTTTCGTTTTCTTTTTTTTTTTTATTTTCATTTTTTAATTCTTTTAAAATTTTTTTTTTTTTTTACAAATTTCATCCAAATTTGTTATTTTTTTTTTTTTTTTTTTTGGGAAATATTGTTTTTTTTTTCTCATTTGTTTATTTTTATTTTTTCCATTTTAAATTTTTCATTTATTATCTAACTTCAATTATTCAATTATTAATCAATTATTAAACAATTCAATTATTAACCGATGATGACAATAAAAAAAAAAAATATAAAAAGTATTAAATATTAGCAATAAAAATAAATATTGCTTTATCAGTATAAATTCCTCTAAAAGATAATTGAATATGTAAAGTCAACATCTAATTAAATTATCGGAAAATTCAAAGCATATCTAGGATGAATTATAAAATCATAAACAAAAATAAATAAGTAATATAAGCTAAATTAATTTTCATATTGAAATTTATTTATTTTTATTTAAATAATTTAAAAAAAAAAAAAAAAAACATTTATTACTGTGCATTTTAATGAATTTTTTTTGATCTTTTCAATTACTAATAATAAAAGATTTGTAAATGAATAAAATTAAAACTATTTTAAATTTAAGCAAAATTAAAAAACTAAAAATAAGATAAGACGAATGTATAGCTTAATTATTTCATTTCAATGATAAAATAATTGCATAAATTAGAATTGATATATTTATAATCCTTAATGTTATTTATAATTTAAAAAAAAAAAAAAGTTTTTGTTTATTTTATTATACATTTTTGTTTATTGTTTTGTTAAATAGTTATGTTGTTAATGTAAAAAAAAAAAAAAAAAAACCTAAATTATAATATAAATTTACAAGTAAAATGAGTGTAAATTATAAGTTAAATATAAGTTCGTCAATTTATAATTGTTACTAAAAAAGAAATTAAAAGAATTGGAAAAGTAAAAGAAAAATTATTTAATAATATTTTTATTTTTTAAATACAATAAAGTTTTTTAAAGTTTTTTTTTTTTGTATTAATTTTCTTTCTTGCAAAAGAAATTGTCAATTTTTTTTTTTTGTAAGTAAAGAAATTTTAAATAAGTAAAACATTAATTAAGTATAGTCATTAAAAAAAAAAAAAGTTGCATGGAATATCGTTGAAATTTAAAAAAGAAAGAAAAAAAAAAAATGAAAATGAAATTATTTTAGTTTTCTATATACGATTACGGAGGCAAATTTTTTTTAGCACGAGAGATAAGTTAAAAGTATTTATTGAGAAACTAGAACCATTTAAATATATTACTTATAAAAATGTTCAAAAGAATGTTTGCAAAAATTAAAAAAAAAAAAAAAAAGAAATAAAATTATTTCAATTTTTTTTTTTATCAAATCTAACTGAAATATATTAATATAATTCAGTGTAAATTATGAAAATAATGCGTTAAATTTAGATTTTAAATAGTTGAATTTAAAAAATTTTTCTCAGTTATTTTTAATTAGAAAAAATAATTTAAATTTAAATATTTGTCATAGTTTAAAAAAAAAAAAAAAAAAGTTTACATATATATATATACAATTATTAAATTTAAAAAAAAAAGAATATTAATTTTTGATAATTTATAATAATCATATGCGAATGATCGATCGTTTAAAATTAATTGTAATTTTTTATTGAAATTGAATTTTTTTTTGAAAAAAATTTTCAAAAGAATTTTACTTTTTCGATAAAAAGTAAAAATTTTATTTGAATTTATTTTTTTTAGAATTTGAATAATGGAAAACGAAACGCTAAACCTATTGGATAATAATTATAGCAATGAAATACCACAATCAGAGTTATGCGGTGATGTAAGCTTTATTTTATTTTTATTTTTTTTTAATTTTTTAAACAAATTAAAATGCTTAATCAAACTATTACTTTTTTTTTTTTTGAATTTCATTTGTACTTTATTTTTATTTCAAATAAATTTCAATAAATTCATTAATCTAAAATGAATGCATAATTTTTTTAAATTATTTTCTCAAATTTGAAATTACATCAATTCTTAGCTACTTTTTTTTCTTCTTTCTCTTTTCATTTCAACATATTTGAAAAAGTTCCATTCTCATTAATTGTATAAAAAAAAAAAAAAAATTTCAACTGAAAATTATTTTTTTTTAAATTTCAAAAAAAAATTTCCCATCAAAATTTCCCATTATTTGATATTAATTTACTATTGAAATTTTTCTTGTTTAATACATTTTTTGATGTTTCAAAATTTTCAAATGATAAGAAATTTTTTTTTTTGAAGCATTTTTGAAAACATTTTTGGTTTATTCTAGTAATTATTATCAGTTTTAAATTAAGTAAATGATTATTATTTAGTTCAAATAATTCATCAAAAAAAAAACATAGATTCCATTTTGAAATATTTTAATTGAATTATTTTTATTTAAATCAAATTTACAAAAATTAATTTTTAATAAAAGTATTAAATAAATGTTAAAATTATAGTTTCCATAAGATTCAGTTGCATATAAAAAACCAAATTAAACAACAAATTTAAGTTTTAAAAATAAATAAATAAAAGAAAAAGCAAACTGTTTGCATTTTTTTTTTAGCTCACTGAAAAAAATAAGTACAAAATAAAAAAATTATTTTGTATGAAAGGATGAAATTTAGTGGAAATTTTAAATAAATATGAGAATAAAACAATAAGAATGATATTATTAAAAAGGAAATTAAAAAAATAAATTAACCAAAGCTAATTATTTTTAAATTTAAAATCAAAAATTTTTAATTTTGTGACACTGTAAAAATGTTAGTTTTTTTTTTTTTTTTTGCTCTAATTATTTGTATAATTTAAATTTATAAATAATTAAATGCATTATTCTATTAAATCTAGCAAATTACAATAATGGAGTAAAGTAATAAAAAAAATAAAGGATGGATTGAATAAAAATAAATAAATTGCAGAATGAATTGAATTGAATTAAATTGAATTTGAATTAAATTGAATTTGAATTAAATGAACTAAATCATCATCTAGTTCTTAGGAACAATTTAATGGTTCAATTCAAATTCAATTCATTTAATATATTTATACTTTTAAAATCCACCAATTAATTAATTTTTATCACAGCTTTTTTTTTTTTTTGTGATTTGATTGAAATTTATTGAAATTTTGAAATGTGATTTGATTGAAATTTGAAATTTAACATCAATTCAAGTTGTATATCATTAAAAAAAGCTTAAAATTAATTCAAACAAAAATTGCATAAATTATTTTTTATTTTCAAAAAAATGAAAAGAAAAAGAAATAATATTTAAAAAAAAATTATTAATATGAAATAAAAAAACAATATAAAATTTCAAAAACAAAAGAAAAGTAATTTAGTAATTATATATATTTATTACATATTTCAAATGCTTTCATTTCTTTTTTTTTTTTCAATTTATGTTTATTTTTTCTTTTTTGTAAAAAAAAAAAAAAAAATTATTTTTAAAAAAGAAATTTTATATTTATGAGTAAATTTCAGTCTGAATTTTACACATTGGCACGATTTATCTTTTTAATGATTGCATCATTTATTGCATGGCTTGGTACCTGTGGTAATTTACTTTTAGTTTATATTTTTATGACACGAACTTATCCAACGTCAACAAAATATCCTACTGGTAAGTAAAGTATTTATTTATTATTGCTATTTTTTTTTTAACTTTAACTTTTATTTATTTATTTGGAAAAATATAATTTAATTATTTGAATTTTGAATTTTTTCTTCTTTTTTTTTTTTATTGCTTTCTAAATATTGTTAACTTTTTTCATTTTTTTTTTTTAAAATGCTTTGTATTTTTTTTTTTTGATAAATATTTATTAAAATTAAAATTAATTTTATTTTTTTGTAGTGTTAGCGATTCTTGATGCATTAATTTGTATTCTTTATATTATGTTATTTGGAATTGATGCAGCAATTGTTTATCTTAAAGTTTCAGTATGTTTTCTCTATTACTATGATTTTTCTATTTTTATTATTTAAATAATTACTAATAGCAGTTTGATGAGCATAAATAATTAATTAATTAAATACATATACTTAGATCTTTTGAAGCCATTAAAACGATAATAACAAAAACTTTAATAATATAATGGTAATATAAATATGGTAGTTTATAATAATATGATAATAATATAAATAAAAAAAACAAACAAACATTTTTTTTTCAAGAAATTAAAATTTTTTTTTAAACTTTTTTCTGTGGATTTTAGCATTTTTTTTTAATCAAAAATAATGTTAAAAGAAGATGCAAATAGCAATTAATGCCACAGTAATAATAATAATAATAATAATAATAATATAAATAAAATTTTTATCACTTTTTTTTTTAAAAAAAAAAAACCTTAAAATTTTTATTTTTTTTGATATTATTAAAATTAATTTAGTTTAAAATTATGAAATAAATGACATTGGTTATTCACAAATTATTAATTGTTAAAAAAAAAAAATTTATTAAAAAAAATGAAATATTTCAATTATTAAATTAAAATTATTTAAATTGTTAATTAATATAGAATTAATTTCAGAATTTATTCATACTGTATCATATTTATATTGTACCAGCATATGTTATCAGTCGAATAACACAATTAGCTATACCATATATGCTAATTTTAACAACATTAGAACGTTTTGTATGGATATCTGGTCAGAAGACAAAAAAATTTTTGAAACGAATGTTTAGCGATCATGGCCATCACATTACAGTCATACTTTTATTACTTTGTTGTACAATTTCACGTCTACCAACAGCATTTGCAATTGTAGTATGTCTTTTTAGTTATTATTTAATTAAACAATTAATCTAATTTAATTATAGGAATTTAAATTTTAAATTATTAATATTATATTCAATCAATTTATTTTATATATATTCTTCAAATTCTTGCATAAATTTATTTAAATTAAACAATTAATCTAATCTGTTAATCAACGTATTCAATGATTTAATTAATTTAATTATAGTAATTAAAATTTTAAATTATTAATATTATATTCAATCAATTTATTTTATATATATTCTTCAAATTCTTGCATAAATTTATTTAAACTAAACAATTAATCTAATCTGTTAATCGACGTATTCAGTGATTTAATTAATTTAATTATAGTAATTAAAATTTAGTCATTAAATTATTAACATTATATTCATTCAATCAATCAATTTATTTTATGTATATATGTAAATTCATGCATTTTTTATTTAAATTAAACAATTAATGTAACCTGTTAGACTGTTAATCAACGTATTCAATGATTTATTTTAATTACAGTAATTAAAATTTAGTCATAAAATTATTTACATTATGTTCAAATAATTTATTATAGATATATGTATATCCATGCATTTTTTGCATAAATTTATTTAAATTAAACAATTAATATAATCAGTCTATTTAAAGATTTAATTAATTTAATTATAATAATTAAAATTTAGTAAATTATAACAATTGAAAATTTAGTTATAAAAATTAGTTTTTTTTTTTTTTGGTTAACTTTAAAATTATTTACATTATACTCAATCAATTTATTTTATGTATATGTATATTTAAATTAAACAATTAATCTAATCTACCCATCAATCAACGTATTCAATAATTTAATTAATTTAATTATAGTAATTAAAATTTAGTTATAAAATTATTTACATTATATTTAATCAATTTATTTTAAAAATATTCGAAAAAGATATATTCTATCATTCTTTTTGCACAAATTTATTTATTTTATTATTGTGAAACAATTTTTTTCATTTTTTTTTTTTTGAAATCTTATCAATTGATATTCAAATATATATTATTTGACAATTTAACATTTATAAAATTATATAAAATTACACTTTATCAAAGCTATTATTTTATCAAATATAAAAAACAAACAAAAAAAAAAAATAATTTATTCTCTATGATTATCAATTAAATTACTATTTAAAAAAATTATCATTCAAAAAAAAAAAAAAAAAAAAAAAAATTGACAATAAAAAAAGTAAAAGTTAGACCACATTTTGTCTTTGTTTTTTTTTTTTTTTCATTTCACTTTTTTTTTTTCTCATTTTTATTGCTATTAAATTTTATTGATAAAGAAGCATACATTTATTTGATAAATAAACTAACAAATAAATGACTTTTTTTTTTTTTTCATTTCATTTTTACAAATTATTTGTAATGTGTTATAAACATTAATTAAATCAAAAAAAAAAAATAGTAAACAAAAAGAAAGTAAACAAAAAAAAAGGAATGAAATTTGCTACTTTTTTTTTTTTTATTTCAAAGGTACATCATTTTCCAAATTGTAACGATTTTTTGCGCACACAAAGCACGGGACCAGCTGATTGGGTACACGATAGTAAAGTTTATTATTTCTTCGATTTTCATCTCTTATCAATTGCTCAAACATTTATTCCATTTATTGTTCTTGTTGTGTTTAATTTTGTAAGTTTATCAAAATTATCAAATTCATTTCTTTTTCATTCTTACTTTGTAAAATTATCAATTATTTAAAAATGTATTATCCAAAAATTATCTAAAAATTAGAAACATTTTCAATATTATGTAAAAATTAGATATTATTAAAAATGTATATTTTCAAAGTTTTTATTATTTAAAAATAAAATTGAAATGGTTTTTTCTTTTGTCTTTCTCAAATTTTGCTATAATTAGTTTTAAATTAAAAAATTTTTTTTTTTTTTTTTTTTTTTTTTTGAAAATTTAACACAAAATATATTTGCAAATTTATTTATTTATTTATTTATTTATTTTTTATAGATTATTATTCGAAAATTACCAAAAGAAAATTTGGATCGAGGAAAGAATCATACGAAAGAAACAGATCAAGAAAATGGACATTTTTTAATTGAGCAAAATTATTCTACCTCAATTCATAATCAACAATTGCAACAGGAACAAGAACAAGAACAATTTTCCATTTCAAATGCATTATTTGAATTTGATGAATCGAATCGAAATACTTCAAAATTTGAGCATAAATCAAAATTATTAAATACCATCTGGAGTTCAAAGTTCAAAAGACGTAATGATTCATTGTTTGAAGCAAAAAATGGAAGTAAGCTAATGATTATTAATGTAAATTAATCTAATCAAATTAAGATTGTAATTTAAATTTATCTTAACAAAAAAAAAAAAATTTGTATAATAATTTATTAAACGTTTATCAAACAAAAAAAAATTTGAAAAATTGAAAGAAAAAAAAAAAAAAAAAAACTGAAACACTTTAGAGATATAAATGTTAAAATTAATTATTTACACTATCGATTATTTATATCTCAGACAGAAAGATATAAAATTAAATTATGTAAATGCTTCCATTAATTTCAAATTTAGATGCAAAATTTAAGGAAAAAAAAAGGGAGTTGGAAAGAACACACACATACTTGAACTTTATATAAATTTAAAAAATATAAAATTAATTTAAATAAGTTAAAATTAAAAAAAAAAAAAAAAAAAAAACGAAAAAGAAAAGAATTTAGTTAGTTTATAAAATATTCAACGAAACATTTTAATTGTATAAAACTAATTTAGTAAAAAATGTTGGTTTGAACAAATAAAAGCTAATTTAAAAAAAAAAAAAAAAAAAAAAACTTTTAAAAAATAATGGAACAAATATTCTTTCTTTCCGTTTTTTTTTTTTTTTTTCCGTTTCAGTATCAATTATAATGACTAAACCGTTACGTAAAATGTCCACTCCGGTTCGTGATGCTGTTTGTACAATGTTTGCTATTGTTACTAGTTATCTAATCAGTAACAGTCTTCATTTGATACTTACAATTTTAGAAAGGTTTTCGTTTTCGTTTTTTTTTTAAAAAACTTTTTTTATAAATTTAAATTAAATAAAAAATAATTTAACAAATATTCTTTTATTATTATTTTTTTGTTTGTTTGTTTGCATTTACATAAAATAAAAAATTTTTTAACAAATTTTTTTTTTTGCTTTTTTTTCTTTGCTTTTTTTTTTTAGTCAAAAAATAAAACTTTACTTTACTTTTTAGATCACAATTCTCAGTACTTCGTGATCCGGATGATCCAATGATGGCAAGTACATTTCATACAGTTTTTTCGGATACAGTCAGTTTTGTTTACATGTTTACAAGTGCTATTCGTATTATTATTTATATGTGTAATCCGGCTGTACGTTTACATCTAAAAGATTTTCTACCATGTTATTATCGATGTAGGAAAAAACATTCATTATCATCAACAACTATTGCTGTTCCGGTTTAATTGCTATTCCGGTTAATTATTTCAAATGTTATTATCTGCAGGAAAATATTTTGTTATTTGTTTGTTTGTATATTTATTTACTTATTTATTTAATTTTTGTTGTCGTATTGATGAAATTTGAAATTATTCATAATTCTATTTATCATCCGGTTTAAAAAATACCAAAGATTTTATACTTATTTTATAGAAAAAATAGAAAAACTTTTTTTTTTTTAAATTCTATTATAAAATTTGAATATAACAAATTTTGTAAATATATCATTGATAATGTTAAAATGATATTGTAAATTATACATATAAAATGCATCAAGTAGAGAAGTACTTCATATTTCGGTTTGCCTTAGTTTTTTCAATAATTTCAATAACGGAGAGAGAGAGGGAGAGAGAGAGAAGCAAAGAAAAAAAACAGGAATGTCACTTATTTATTTCCAATAATAATAAATATGATAATGATAATAATAATAATAATAACAATAATAAATATGGTAATAATAATAATAATAACAATGTTAATGATAATAATAATAAATAATAACAATATAATAAATGAACAATAATAATAATAATGATAGTAGTAATAATAAATATGATAATAATATTAATAATAATAATAAATATGATGATAATAATAAATACGATAGTAATAAATATGATAATAATAATAAAAATTGTATGATAATAATAATATTAATAATAATAGCAAATATAATAATAATAATAATACATATAATCATTATGATAGAATCATATTGCTCATAAACGAAAATGACATTATGTTTTACTATTGAAAAATTACTAATCTATCTTAAATTATTAGAAAAAAAAGTAATAAAAAAAAATTAATATTAATTTTATTTTTCAATGACATAAGTTGTAATTTTTGTATAAAATCAAAAACAGTTCAGTAATTTAAAAGAATAAATTACAAATTTTTAAAATAGTTTTATCAATTTTTTTTTCAACTCTTTAATTGAGTAAAACGAATAATTATCAATAATTCTTCTTATGTTAAAAGGATTAATAAAAAAAAAAGCATAAAATGGTACTCTTGAAATTTTCAAAAATTTTAAAAACTAATGAATTTGATTTTTTAAAAAAAAAGCAAAAATTTATTAGGAAAAGAGAAAAGATATACCAAAAAGAATTCTTATCATAATTTATCATAATAATATCAGTCAATGACTAATGTAAGTGTTAATTAATTATTTAATGAAATAATTTTGACAGGAATACATTGTTGTCAAATTACGAATGATATTATACTTTGATTAATTGAAAAAATTTTTTTTTTGTTTCTTTTAATTTTCCTTTTTTCCGCTTTGTTTTTTTTTTTTTTTTTCTCGCAAATACTGTAAATTAAAATGTAAAATGTAAAATTTTGTTGTACATTATTAATCATTTCAGAATGATATTTTCTTTTTTTTGTTTTTTATTGCTAAAAAAAAAAAAAAATTTTTTTTTTTTTTGCAAATGATAATTTGTTGAATTAAATTTGTCATGCAAATGCTATTCTCATCATATAAATGTGCTCATTTCTTTTTTTTTTTTTCAAATTAAAATTATAACTTATTTTAATTGTATGTATGTATGTAATTAATTAATTAATTAATTAATTAATTAATTAATTAATTAATCATAATAGTTTGTCAAAGTTACAATTATTATTAATTTTATTATTGAATATAATAAATTAACGGAAAATAAATAAAAATTTGTTATGCTATCATACAATTATCAATCAATAAAAATATGCAAAATTTGCATTATCATTTTACTATCACAAAATTTTCGTTTTTTTTCTTTTTCCGTCTTTTATACAATAAAAATATAATTTTTTTGCTTACATATTATTTCTTATTTTTATTTTTTGTATAATTTTAACTTTTTTAATTTTTACAATTTAACTTTTTAATTTTCCATTTTGTTAAATTAATATGTTATATTATATTAGTTTTATAAGAAAAAAGAAAGAATTAAAGATATTTAAAAAGAAAAAAAAAATTTTTTTTTAAAGCAAATATTTTTATAAAATTTATTATGAAACAAAGATGGAGAGAGAGAGGGAAAAGAAAAGCAACAATAAAATTGTGAGAGAGAGAGGGAGAGAGAGAGAGGTAAAAATAATAACAAGATTGTTTGTTTTTTTTTGTTTCTTTTTTTTTTTGGTTTTTTTTTTTTGTTTTTGAAAAAATTTATTTTCATGCAAGGAAGAGGAGGAAGAAGAGGAGATGATGGAGGTGGAGAATTTAATGATTATTGATGGATTGGTTAATTTGTTGAAACTGGTGACATTGTTTGATTCATTGTGTGATATTAAATGGTAACCTCATTTTTGATTCTATTGAAATCAACATTCTTTTAAATTCATATATTCACATCTTTTTTTTTTTTTTTTTTCTAAAATTTCCATATAATATTATCATTAATATATATTTCCCCTCTCTCTCTTTTTTTTTTTTTTTCTTGAGAATGATCTCGAGATTTTCTCGAGAAAGAAATTATTATTTCAATATATTCAAATATTATCATCAAACATTTGTTGTTTTTTTTTTAAATTTTCCCTCTTTCTTCTTTATTTTCTTTAATTTTAACTCTAAAAATAAGACTGTTTTTGAATAATTGGATAAAATATTATATTTATTTACATATATTAGACGAAATTATGTTTTTTTTTTGGAAAAAATTTTAATAACAAAAAATAGAATTTATAATAAAAAATAATCATCCATATGTTTAGCATAAAATAAAAAATAAATACACCATAAAAGATTTGCTTAATCTTTTAAAATCATATAATTTTCTATATTAAAAAAAAAAGCTTAAAACTTTAAATTATTCATTTTAGAATCTTTTCAATCTCAAACTTATATTTTAATTTTCCAATTTGATTTTATTTGATATTTTGAAAGAAATTTGAACAAAAAAAAGAATTTAAACTTTTTTCTCTTTTTAAATTTAAATATTTTATTTCTAAAATTTTTTCTTGAAAAAAGAAATTATTGTTTCAATTATTTACATGCATTAATGCATTCAATTTTTAAGTATTTTTATTAATTATTTTTAAAAAAAAAGAAAAAAAAAATTTTCATAAAAAGATTTTATTTTTTAATTAACCGATATGAATTTATATTTCAAATTTTTAAGGAATTATCATAAAATCTTCAACTTTTTCTTTTTTTTTTTTGAATATATTTAAATAAAATTTACAAAAATGACTATTGCTAATTTTAATTACAGCTATAATTACTTTCTTGTTTAGATTTAAGAAATGTAAATAACTTATATTTTCAACACATATAAACAAATATAATAATTTGAAAAAAAAAAATGATAAAATTTAGATCTTTTCAAAGTGATACAAATTATTTTATTATTACTACTACTACTACTACTAGAATGTTACTTTATTTCTTATTGTTTCTAATACCAATTTCTGCAATTCCATTAAACAATTTCAAATCAAACTGTAGCTGTGAAATATCATCATGTATAAAATCAATATTTTGTTCAAATGGATCAACAATTGATAGTATTAATCAACGGAGCAATAAAAAAATTCAATTTGGCAAATTAAAATTGGTAAAGTTTAAGTTTTATTTTTTAATTAAAATGTTAAATCATATTGTTTTTTTCTTACTTTTTTTTTGCATTATTATGATCAATTTTAAATTTAATACGAAAATCTTTCGTTTTTTTTCTTTTTTTTTTCGTAGTTTTATTTATTTATTTATTCTGTTAGTTTATTGTTTACTTAATTTTTAGCAATATATAAATGCTTTATTTGTTTATTTATTTATTTGTGCTGAAAATTTCAGAAGAAAGGAATTTCAAATGATGAATTACCAATAGCTCGCGTGGAAGGTCATACAAGGTCACGTCTTCTAAAACGTTCTACAACGGAAGGCTCACAGGTATAATTATTATTCAAATAAATAAACTCAGTTTATTAACTAAGAAAATGAATTGATTTTTCAATTTTTTTTTTTTAAATCTTCTTAGGAATTAACTATAATTAATAACTTGAAAATAATTCATTTATTATTTATTTATTATCAAACTGTAAGATAAATTCATTGATATTATTTACTAAATCAGAAACAATTTTGATATTTATCTCAAAACAAAGCGTATCATTTTATCATTTATCATAATAATCAAATAATTGAAATTTTGTTAGGTAAAAGAAATATAACAATTAAATATATATCGCTGATCATTTAACTAATAACTGATAATTTTACTTAATTGTATATCGAAATAAGATTATATTTATCTATGAGTATTGGAATCTTATGTTTAATTTTTGTTATTTTATATATTTCATTTATGTTTTACTTTTAATTTTTGAATTGCTTAATTTTTTAAAGTTGAATTTTTCTTTTTTTCATTTATTTCGGACATTTTTTGATATTCATTTTGTTGAAATAATATTTGAAATATTATTCATTGATATGCTACAAAAAATGCCAATTAGAAAAAGGTATGAAATAGAAAAATGGAAAATGTTTGAAGAAATAAAATTTGATCAGAATGATAAAATATCATTTGTTTGTGACCTATTTAATATAATTTAATTCTATTTGGCATATATTTGTAAAATAATTTAAGGTTACGATCAAATAAATAATTTATGAGTTATTGTAATTTTGTTGACATATTTCTTTTATTTTTAGTTTTTTTAAAAAAAAAAAAAATTGAAATTTGATTAATTCATTTTGGATGCATTAAATAAACTTGTTGTAAACCATTAACAGAATATTAGTTAACTATGAAATTATTTTACATTTAATTACTTTATTCCTCTAAAAAAAGAAAAAAAAATTATTAAGAAATTTGGAATAATATTTTTTCTTTTCATTGTGTAATTAATTATTTTTAAATTCAGCAAAAAAAAAAAGTTTCAATATAATATGTAGAAAAAATTTTTATGTATTAAAATGTAAGTTAACTTCTAATTATATTTAATATTTTAACTTTTTTTTTTTGATCACAAACTTGATCAAAGATTTTTAATCATTCTTTAGCTTATATTTTTATCTGTTTCATTATCATTATCACTCCTTTTTTTTTTTCAGGAAGATGATTCAGATTTGATAAGAGTACCAAAACAAGAAAATACAATTGGTCAACAAACGCGTAATCAAGGAATTTCCGCTAAACATATCATTGATAAGAATCAATCAAAAATATCAAAACTAATGAAAAATCGTTCGGAAACCGGAATGAATACCAAATGTAATAGCAAAGAATTAAAAGAACTTATGCTAAAGGTAAATAAAAAAAATTTTTAATTTTTTTTTTTTCTTTCCCATAAAAGCTAAACAAATTGGAATAAAATGAAATTAAAAAAAAAAAAAAAAACAAAAAACATATAATTTTATTGATTGTTTCAAATAAAATAATATTAATAAAAATTTTTAAATTTAAATATTAAAAATTTCAAAAATTTTAATATTAAATTTTTGGTTTTTTTTTTTTTTTAAAGAGTATTAGTGATAATTCATCAGCATCAAAACGTTCAATTAATGATCGAGCAGAAGAGAAATTTGGTGGTAGTATTGATGTAATTTGTTCAAAGGGTCATTTCTCATATGTGTACAGTTCTAATTTATATTGTGAAGCTATGAAAGGTAATGTAACATGTATTGCATTTCGACAAACACGTTAAAATAATTTTAAATTAAATGATGAAAAAAAAAAAAAAAAAAAGGAATTTTAAATTATTTATTCTTGAATTTTATCAATGAGAAAAGTTAAAAAAAAAAAAAAAAAATTGAATAATTTAAAATAAAATTGCATTTCATTTATTGTTTCTTTTTTCTTAGTACGAAAGAAAAGAAAGAAACTTATTCTAATTTAGATTATTTTCGATCAATTAATTTACAAAATTTCAAATTTATTGTGAAAAAGAAAAAGATCACTCTTTATTATGTATATAATATAATATTTGTATTTTTATTAAGCAGCTACAGATAATAAAATTTCAATTGAATTAAATCTTAAATAGATATAAATCATTGAATAGGATGTTGTTTTAAAGAAGATCCATAATTTCTTTTTTTTTTTTCCTCTTAATCAACATATCTTTAACTTTAATTAAAAACTTGTTTAACAAAAATAAAAAATAAAATAAAAAAAAAAAACAAATTTATGGACAACCAGAATGATTGGCTTTTATTCGACTGTTATTTATTTCTCTCTCTCTCTCTCTCTCTCTCTCTCTCCCTTTCTTATCAGATAATTAACAGCCAAGATCTCCAGCAATCAATCTGTTAGTTCTTCCTTTGAATGTCATACACTGATAAGAATTTTGCTGCAAAAAAAAAAAAAAAATTAACAAAGCAATTACTACAATCATGAAAAAAAAAAAAAAAAAAAAAATGATTTATTTACTTTTTTTATTCCTTGCAATTTTCAAGATCTTTTTTTCAATTTTTAATTTAATATTTTAATGATTGTAAAAATTTATTTGTATTTCTAACATTTGCTATGCTTGTAATGATAAAAGAGATAATGAATGGAAAAAAAAAATAATAAATAAATGAAATTTATTCAAGCAAATGTACAGAAACAGAAAAATGCTTTCTTTTCTTTTTGTTGTTGTAATTATGAAGAATTTGCATTTTTATTTCAGTAAAGTTTGATATCATTTGTTCAAATCATCATAAACTATCCTAAGAAAAATTTGCTTTACTATTTATTTCCAATTAAAATTTTCGATGAAAATACAATTCGACAATTAAACCATCAACACAAAGTGAACAAAAAAGAGAAGAAAAAAAAAAAAACTTTAATTTATCAAACTTAACAAAATGTTACAATTTTAAAATACATTAATAGTAACAAATGCGTTAAGCATTTTTATGACTTCCTTTCCATATTTTCCTCAACCCATCTGCACACCAACGGATGTAACGTTTTTGATGTCAATTGCAATTTCTGCTTCTGAAAAACTATTTTTGTGAATATTATTTACTTTCTTTGAAAAAGATTAGAAAATATAAATGAAAAATAGTAAAATATTCTTTTTTTTTATAATTCGAAATTCGGAAATATCAAAAAACTTCTAACATTTCTTTAATATCAGGAAAATAAAATGAAAGAAAAGAAAAAAAAAAACCTTTGCGTATGCAGTGATAAGTTTGATAAAAAAAGGCTCTTCATCAACTTCTGTTACCTTATTGTTTTCATCATACCATTCGTATGCTTTCCTTAAAATGATGCATAAAAAGTTATTTCGAATATTAATAAAACAGAAGAGATAATAAGCAAATAGTTTCATTTAATCGCTAATATAATAAGAAATAAACAATCATTTAAATCATTAAATATCTAACAATTTTTTGCTTTCTTTAATTTTCAACTAACTTTATTGAATATTCTGGTAACAGACGATTAGGTCCTGTAGATGGTAAGCCAGATTGAAAATATCGTGCTATTACTCTAACTGTTTTGTCAGAATGCTAAAAAAAGGAAAAAAAAATACAATAGTTAGAATCATCTATCATGAATATTAATTTCGTTTTAGATAAGTATTAAAAAAATAAATCTGATTGGCCAAGCATTCATTATTCCAAATAACTATTATATAAAAATTGGTCCATTTCATCACAATTCCTTTTCGATAATTTTTAGCTAAAACTGTTTCAAAAAAAAAAAAAGAAAAGAAAGAAAAAAGAAAATACTTTAGCAAGGGTGTTAATTTCAGCGATTATTGACGAAGAAAGTCCACCACAACAATCCGGATCATCAAGTTCTGGCTTAAACGACTCTATATAAGAGCATCCATCCGTATCTTCTACCATGCAATCAAGTTTTGGATAAGCCTAAATGTTCGATTTAAAAATAATTAAATAATTATTTTTCTTGACGGTCAAATTAATAGTTATTGACTATAATGATCACATTGATATCATTGATTGACTATGTTACTGTAAAACAAAGTTGAATAAAACTGAAACAGTTAAAATATCATGATTTTACTATTACCTTGACTGTATAGTGAGTAATTTAAATTAATCTCGAATAGTTATAATATTCAAAACTGAATTTCTTCCCGGAATATATAAATTAACAAAAACTAATTTAACCAATTCTTTTGCTCATGTCTCGGCTTACAAAAATAACCATAACAATCAATTTTCTCATGCAAATAAATCACTGGAAAACAGTTATATTAATGAGCTTTAAAAATATTAACAAGGGAAGTTCTTTCATTTTTTTGCTATACTTATTGATTTATTTTTGTAAACAAATGTATGAAAAAAAAAAAACTGTTAAAAACATATAAAATCAATAAAAACTTACAATGAAAAAAGATCTAATACATATTAAAATAGATGCTGCGCCAGAAGAAGGCATGAAAAATGCTAATGCTAATAAACGTTTGATGTAAGCGGCTACACGACACGCTGGAACTTGTTTACGACGGCAATTAATCATTAAATCTAACGTACGTAATGTCAGCGATAATGTATTTACAAGTCCATCTGAAAAAAAAAAAAAAAAAGTTCTACTATTGATTCACCAATTCACTAAAATAATTGACATCAATAAAAAGCAAGTTTATTAACGACACAAAACAATTAGTTATCAAAATGGATAATTATTTAGTCACTACTATAATAATTTACTAATACAAATAAAAAAAAAAAAAAAAATAGACCTTGATGCTTTTCGAATGCTATAGAAGGTAATAAACGATACATTGACCAATAAAATCGAGATGGATCAATATTTAATGCAATACCTTCACCGGAAAGCATAACGAATGATGTATATATGCATCGTAATGAATCAACCAATCGAAGATGCTAAAAATAAGTTAATTATTTAATGTTCAATTATCATATGATATAGTCTTTTTTGATTTTACCTACTCACTAAGTAATAGAATTCCTGGAATTCCCTATGAACAAACAATAATTTTCTATCATACATTTATCATATTCCTTTCTAGCATTATAAGAATGATTTTTCAAATGAAAAATTGAATCACTTTATTCAAAAAATAGCTATGAAAAAATGTAACTAATTGTTTAATTAATTAAATTTGTAACTTAAGAATAATTAAAAGTTTATAAAGACATTCATTAATAAACAGTTATGTTTATTAAATTAGAAAAACAAATAAAAGAAAACGGAAAACCTGCTGATTGATAAGTGATGATAGTGCAGCTATCATATCATCAAAGAATTCAATGTTGATTAAATGCGCAAATTTAGCCAAACCTTCCAGTACTGGTTCCAATAACTTTGTGGTCGGTAATCGTTTTATGACACGAAAGTATGTTGCGAATACATGATTCATTGTTTCGGTTGCCTAAATTTTATGTCTAAATTATATTTGCGGCAGTAATTCTGATTTTACAAACTAACTGATACAAATTTACTTCATAAATGATAGCTTACTATACTGATTGTCGCATTTCCTGCTTTATCTACTAAAATGTTCTTCATCTGTCTTTTAAATTCTAAATAAAAAACAACAGAATAGATCATTTCTCATCGAGCGAAAAGAAATAATTCTAGAAGGAAGTATAGGTTCTCAACGATAAATAGATATCCAACAAATATAATAATACTACATAATCATAATAACACAAAAAATTTACAAATGATAATTTTGTTGAAATAGATTCGGCTGCTTCAACTTCTTTCAAATCAGCTTGCAGTTTCTTCAATTGTTTAACGAACTAAACCATTACATTAATTACAAACACAAATGTTCAATTTCATTTTTGAAATCTCCAAAAAATAAAAAAATAAAACTGAAAATATTCACTTCTCTATAATGTAGGAGTGGTTTTCTATTTTCTAAAATGGAAATAAACAAAAGTACTTAATGGCTTAACTAATATAAAAAAAAACAAAACTGACAGGTATTTATCAAATAATCAGGCTAGCCACACTACCGAGAATTTAACTGGAGATAAGTTACCGTAAATGGTAATACTTGTGAACTTTTATTCCCTTTAAAAACAAAAAATGCGATATATACAAATATACAATTTTACTAGAAGGAAACAAGTAGCAAAAAATCATACCCTTTCTTTACTTTTCTTTTTCTTTTCCTTATTCAGAAGTCTTTTCTTATTCAACAGCTTTTCCTTTCCTTGATTTTTTTCACCCTTATTCACTTCCTAAAACAAAAAAAAAAAACCTGAAATTCTCATGAAATTCAGCGACAAATTCCATATTATCTAAATCCATCTTTCAAACCAATTTAAATTCTCAAATACAATAATTTTAAATTATTTTAATTTCAAAGCCTTTCGAAGCAAAAAATTAGAAATAACAACCTTCACTTTCAATTTCAGAAATGTTGCGATTAGTGCTGGTGGTACATTGCCTTTTTTTTGATTAACAATAGATGCAATATATTTTGCTGCAGTGGAAGATATTCGAAAATTTAAATCGTTTTGAAACAAATCGCTCAGTGTAGAACAACACAAATCAATAGCCTATTAATAAATTGAAAAGTAACCTCCATAATTTATATAAATTTAATCACAACAAACAAACTACTCTATTGCAAAATTTAAAAGAGAGAATAGCAAAAAATTACCACCAGATCTTGAAAAATTCAAAACTGAGGAAAATGATGATTTATAAAGATGCTCACATCCTTAGAATTTGAAGTGCATATGCGAACTATAAAGTTGATTATATTTGAAGCGTAATTGAAATGAGGAGCATTTAGGAGAATTCGTGAAAGGCATTTCAAGCAAACAATCGGCAACTGATGGTCACTGTTCGGTTGCTTCAATAACTCTGAAATTTTTCATTTATTTGAAATACTGCAATCAATAATTGAAAGTACTTTTCTGATAATAACATGGTAACAGTCATCAATGTGGATTTCCAATTCATTAAAAGTGCCATACTTCAGTTAATCAGTGATAAAATCAAAGAAAAAAAAGAAAAAAAAAAAAAAAGAATAACATATGCTAAAATACACCAAAGCTCGATAAAGCTTCGAATTCCGATATCTAATTGTAATTTTTCACTCGAATATGAAAACATATCAAAATTTTACTTACTAGCAGCATAGCTTTCCAAATGCTGCAAATATTTCAGGTAGTACCGTAAAAGTGTTTGCTCGAAATCATATAATTTCTTCGTTTCTTTACTAAGTTTTTGAGACATCTCCTCGTCGGTACGGGGCCTGAAATTACCAAAATTAAAGTCTTTTGTCAATTAAAAAAGAACAAAAAAACCTGAAAAAGGTCAAATAAGAAAGGAATGTAAAAAATATAGAGTAAACATTATTAACCTTATAACGTAACCAGGGATTATATCGATAAAAACTTCAGCCAATGAAACAGTTGCAAGTTTTATCACAGTTTCACGAGCCAATGAAAAAATATCTTTCCCTGTGGATAATATATACAACTCCCTCAATTTGTGCACCTAAAAATTTTAAGAAGAATTTTGAAACTTCCAAATGTAGCACATGCTAGAGTGTAATAAATACATATTATGCTTTTCTATTTCTAAAAAAAATGAAGCTTACATGAAAGGAAGCGAAATATTTCCCTGTAAAAGCATAAAATTCTATATTTCTCGATTACAGGAGCTTAAACCAATTATGGTTCAAAAAAGCTTTTCAATCTTAACTTCTAACACTAATGATAAATGTTATATGGTTTTTTGCTAGCAACTGATCGTGAATCTTTCTTCTTCATTTTAGCTCTACAATTCCAGAGAAAATTCAAGAATAAAATAAAATTTTACCTCACTATGAGGATCAGCAATAATCAAGTATGCCAAGTTACTTATACTATTTTTTGCATTCTCCACATGATCGTAGCGTAATTTTAACAACTCTGCTGCACTTAGCTGAGATAAATCTATTTGACTTTCTTCATTTTGTTGTTGTTTTTCTTCTACATCTTCTAAAATGATTGGAAATATGAATTAACTAGATAATGTTTCTTTCGAAAAAATTGAAGAATTTCAACTGATATTAATAATTACGATATGAAAATGATAATTATTATCATTACAGAAACGTGAGGAATTAAAAACGTACCACTGCTTTCAAGCTCATCTTTCTTGCATGTCTGTCTTACTATTTTGGTACCCACTTTGACTGGCAATAGCTCTCGCATATTATCATCCAGTGTTCCAGGAAATCTACGTGGTTCACTTTCGATATCAACTTTAGCTGCAAATGGAAATTTTAATTTTGAATCAAAAAAAAAAAAAGCAATGGAAGATCAAAAATGAATTGTACTGCATTTGATAATTCTGATCTTCTATATTCTGCTTTTTTTAAGTGATACTAATCATTGTGATAAATGACTGAGAATATTTTCATATAATGAGACACATTTTAAGCAAATAACTATTGTAATAGATCGTATTTTGACATTACAAAACTGAATTCTAACAATAATATCAATTTCAAACTCTTTTCAATTCGCCTAATTTTTGAAGCAAATGCGCTATTTTCCCAATCAATATCTGCATCAAGCATATCCAAAGGAAGAATATCATCATCTGCTTCATTTTCAGCTACAATTTGACGATCAGCACACCAGTCATCTTCGATCTAAAATGTAAACCATTTCATACTGAAATTTTTGGCAATGAAATTCATATTCTAATTAGAATTCGTTTTATTATAAAGCACAAACAATACTTTATATGTACCACTATTTCATCAACCTTATGAAAAGTTAATATGCAAATGACTTTTTGTATTCTTTTTGTAGTAAAAAGAAAAATTCTTTAGCTATAAAAAAAGAAACTATAAAATGATTATCTAGAATATGAATTCAATTACCAAAAATTTCAACATTCTAATAATCAATCCTAATTACTTGCAATTCATTCAGTGCTTAGTCGAATTTAATTATAAATGCTCACAAGCTGATAATATAAATATAACATGTAATGATCAATCATTTACTAATTTCGTAAAAAAACTACCTGAAACTATCTGCAAATTATCAAACCTACCTATTTCGAATATATATGTTGAAAGCTCATTTTTTCAAAAATTTATCTTGATTTTAACACTCAAAACATAAATTTGAAATAATAACTTACATCAATAGCTCGTTTCAACGATTTCGCATGCTTCTTACGATTAACATCTCTGATCGCATCAACCATATATCGTTTCAATTTTTTCGCATTTTGCAAACGTCGCAATTTTCTTTTCACTTTACGAATTTGCTTCTTTTGCACAGAATGATTGGTACCATTCGAATTCATCCTGATATTATTCAATATTTCCACAGCACTGCTACCTGACAAAATAAATAATTGCTAATATTACTTATCGAATAAATCATTTCTTACTAAATTATTACTTTAAGCAAAGCAAAGTAAAATTGTTTACTATTTGTCAAACAAATTTTTACTTTAAAAAATATTTTTTCTTTTTTGAAATGAACAAAACAATGTCTTTTTCATTACTATTTCCAATTATTCAACTAATAAATATATCATAATCATTGGAAACAGTAGAAATATGGAGAATATACTATATGCTATTCAATTCGACTGCTACAAATATTTTGAAGTAAATTTTTTGCTTTCTATGCAAAAAAAAAAAGAAAAAATTCAAGATTAAAAATTCAAGTTGGACTTTAGACTAATGATCTAGGAAGTGAAGGCTTTGAGGCTAGGAGTGTAGTTAGAATTCAAGGAATCTAAGTAAATTTTTAAAGAAATCTAGATAAAATTCAAATTTTGGTTAATAGCTAAATAATGATAATTAACCGTTAAATAGTTATTAATCACCAATTATTAATTGAAAATATGAAATATGAAAAATAGAAGATTTAGAGATACGTTCACCTCAAAAATAAATTAAATTCAGATTGTCATAAATTAAAAATGAAATTGTCACCGTGAAATTGTCAGATTCAGTTCGCGAAATGATTGAAATTCAAGTGAGTGTGGTTTTTTGTGAGGGAGAATGGAGGTAAGACGAATGGTCAGTGCCGAAAAGTGAAGAATTCAGATGGAAATTCAAGACTGAAAATTTAAGTTGGACTTTAAACTGGTGATCTAGGAAGTGAAGGCTTTGAGGCTAGGAGTGTAGTTAGGATTCAAGGAATCTAGGTGAATTTATAAGGAAATCTAGGTAAAATTTCAAGGAATCTAGGTAAAAATTGAAGAAATTTAGGTAAAATTCAGGGAGTCTAGGTAAAAATTGAAGAAATTTAGGTAAAATTCAGGGAATTCTAGGTAAAAATTAAAGAAATTTAGGTAAAATTCAAGAAATCTAGGTAAATTTTTAAAGAAATATAGGTAAAATTTCAAGGAATCTAGGTAAAAATTAAAGAAATTTAGGTAAAATTCAGGGAATCTAGGTAAAAATTAAAGAAATTTAGGTAAGATTCAAGGAATCTAGGTAAAAATTAAAGAAATTTAGGTAAAATTCAAGAAATCTAGGTAAATTTTTAAAGAAATATAGGTAAAACTTCAAGAAATCTAGGTGGAATTTAAAAGAATTCAGGTGAAATTCAAAATTAGGTTTTTTAAAGAAACATTGGATAAGTAATTATTAGCTTTAGTTCTCGAATAATTCTAAATGATATTTAGATATATGCTTGAGATGATGAATAATTTAATCATTTTTGCATTTATTTTTTTAACAAATGGAATATTTTATTAATTTATTTATTCAATTATTTAATTAATAAATATAAAAGCATAGCTTATTGATGTGTTATTTCATTTATAGTTGAAAATTCCACTTTAAATGTTTAATTAATTGGTGAGTGATTCATTTAGTTACTTCATTTATCTAAATGTTTAATTTATGCGCAAAGCAATTTTTTTGTTTTGAATAAACAAACCTTTTTTTTTTTTTTTTTTGTCTAAAATCTAAATCTTTTTTAAAAAAAAGGCTTAAATGTTTTTTGATTTGAATTTAAAAATAAAACTGAGATGAATACATTATTGATAGGAAAAAATATTGCTAATATAAGAGGAGAAACATTCTTAAAAAATAAATCCTTAATTAACAAATTCTATTTGGAAGCAGAATTTGCGAGAATATTAGATTAAATTACTTTGTGATATGATCAATTTTAAATAAAAACTATTGTACAAATATTGAGAAAGAACTTAAAAAAGCATTTATTTCAATTTATTTTTTAAAAATAATCCATGTTAAAATTAATAATTGTAAAAAATTAGTATCAAAATTTTACAAACTAACAGTTTATTTAATTGATAAGAAAGTAAATGAATAGATGAATGATATAAATTAGTAAACTAAGAATAATTAAATCTATAAATAAATGAATAATGTTTAGGTAAACAAGAAAAGTAAAAAGAATTGAAAGGATTAAAAGTTAGATGCGGCGGATATTTTCGCAGTTTGCTGCTACTCAAACATTTCGACTTTATTCAAATGCTGCTGGAACGAGTAAGAATTCAACAACGAATAAATCATCTAATAATACCTACATAGCAATTGAACGGAAAAAAGATTGGAAAAAATCAGCTGATAGGGTAAAAAATTTTTTCTTATTTTGTAAATGTTTCATATGTTTTTGGATTAAAATAGATAAAATAGGTAATTTGAATTAAAATTGTTGATTAGTTGTAAAAAAAAATTTTTTAGATGTATTTATTTTACAGTTTGGTACATTGAGTTCATTCGAAAAGAAACTTCTACCACTGAAAATATCTCATGGTCCAAAGCAAACAAATGATACTTTTGAAGAAGTTGGAGGTATATTTGAAGAGGAAGAAACGGAGGAAGATAGCAGCTGGACATCCAGTTTTTTGCGATCAAAATTCAAAGAAAGCAACAAGTAAATGAGTTGTTTATACCTTTTACTAGATTAATTTAATGTCTTTTTTTTTTCTTTCTTTTTTTGTGAAAGTTTAGCAATTCATCATAGTTGGTAGTCTTAAATTCGATTTATATGTATAAGAGAAATGTAATTATAAGAAAAAGAAGTATGGAAGAAATGAGATTTATTGCATACACCATTACATATTGTTGTTTGCTTTGGAAACATATCCAGAATTAGATAAACGATCCAGTAGTACTAGTGAATTCTGAAAATTTTTCAGAGAATTACCTATAATCACGGAACCTGTGGCCTTTGGTCGGAAACAACGAAAAAAGTTGAGGAAAAAGAAAGAAGCTGAAGAAGAGTATGAGAAGTTGTATGGTGTAGATCGAACTACAGCAAAAGTTATCATTGGTTCGTTTTTTTTTTTTTCTTTTTTAATGAAATATAATTAATTAGAAATTACAGTCATCTATTGTTTTAATTTCTCTAAGATGTAATAAAGACGATTTGATAGAATTAAGTCTAAATTTTGCATTCATAAATAAAGCATTTGAAAAAATTGATGTTACTCTTTTAGTATTACCTTCTTCATCTTATATGAAAGGATAACATAATGGTAATACAATAATGGTAGAAGAAAAGTCATCAAAAATGACAGAATTACTGTTAATTTGGTGAAATCCAATTTAGTAGAATCTTAACGAGATCTTATCAGAATTAAATCTAACTGTATCACTATTGACGATATCCTATCTTTTTTCACTCAAAGTTTTTCACTTACAACACAAAGTGCTAAAATGGGTATTTTTTTAGATTGTGCTAGGAAGGAATATAATCATTATGAAGGTATGCGATATCCTCCAGGTGATATACTGTTAGCAAGTACATATTGGCTAAAAAGCAAATATAAAAATGATTGGTTCACTATTTATCCGATCATGAAAAAGGTATATTTATACATGAACAATTCGGTATTGCTCTTTTAATATTAAGTTTTTTGTCAAGATGACAGCCAATACAATTCTTCTTGTTTGTTTTATCTCTTTGAGTATTTCAACTTGTCTTGTGATACCTGTGAAATGAGTTTGTCATGTATGATCCATATAAAAAGTTACCTATATTATATTTTTGAAAAGATGGCATTCAGTGATGGGAACAATCTGCAATTATTGGTGATTATTCTATATTCTGTCTTTCAAATATTTGATCAAAGATCTATAAATTGTTTGGTTTCAGAATCCATCATTTAACCGTGATGAATCATTTTCCTGGGATGAAAATACTAGTCTACTTGATCCATTAATCATTGAAAATGCTCGAAAACTTGGTTTTCGTGTGCCAACAGTCATACAGGTATGTACTCTCATTATCTGAAGTATTCTGGCAGTTCAATTTCAAGTTTTGTTTTTAATTACTTAAAACATTACAGTAAGAGTAGTATGTTGCGTTTGACGTTTTTTCTTTTTCCATTATAATAAGACTATAAATTTCTTACAAATTTACAGCGTCGAGCATTCCGAGCCTTTAAAAGTGATGCACATCTTCTTATAGCTGCTGAAACAAGTTCAGGTAAAACAGCAGCTTATGCTGCACCAATATTGTCTGCTTTATTACGTAATTTGGATCGATGTGCAAAAGGTTTGTCTTTTCTTCTTATTGCTTATTTTAGGAATGATAGAGGTTCAATCTTACCTGAACTTTATTGGCTACAGGTAACTTATGAAAAGGTCAGTAGCCATTGAAATTCGTGTGTGTGTGTTTTTTTTTTGTAAAGAGTATTGCAAAACATTTAGAACATTTGGTGCTATTTAGAACAATTGATGCATTCATAAGGAGAAGTTTTGTTTATTTCTCTAAATAAGTTTTTTTAGCTGTTGTGCTAGTTCCTACACATGCGCTGCGCATGCAAACTTCATTTATGATTAGCAAGCTTGCCGAAGGCACTGATATGAAAATCATTGGAGGTAGTGCGGGATGGCGAGTCGAAAAATTGGCTAACGAAGAGGTATGATTTTGAAGGTTTGCAAATTCCCTCAAAACTGTATATTTAGAAAAAAAAAAAAAAAATGAAAAAATACTGGTAATTTTTTGACCAACTTAAGAAAACATCAAGTCTAATTTTGTTAGTAAAATCTCGAGAATGCGCTTGTACTGCGACTTATTTTTATGATTGTAGGACTGGAATATTCTTGTTAGTACACCTGGTTTTTCTCCGGAATTTTTCGCATCTCTCAATATTGATTATGTTGTTTTGGATGAAGCTGATATGTTGCTCGATGATAGTTTTTTGAATGATATCAGTAGATTACTTGGTCCTCTTAAAATACGACATTCGGTGACTGATAAGAATGCTACAGGTTTGCAGTTATTTTTGAAGCATTTTTCCATATTATTCTGATCGGAACAAACTAAAGAATTTATAGTTTTGGTCTTCGTTGGAACAAAAATTGATTTAGATTAGGTAAAAAGGAAGTCCATAATGTATTGTATCGTAATAATGAAATATTTTAAGTTTTGTTGGAAATATTTAACATTATTCTATGTACTTCTTCAACTTTTTAAATCAGTTATTTTATGAAAAGAAAAATTGTTATTTATTGAATTTTGAGATGGTGTACGTTTGATTTTCTCATCCGCTACATATCCTGATCAGTTACAAAGAATTGCTGAAAGTATAGTGGATAATGATCATTTGTACTGTGTCAAAACTGAGAATTTGCATCGTATTATGCCTCACGTAAAGCAAACTTTCGTCAGAATCAGAGAAATGGATAAATTAGAGAAATTAAAAGAATTACTTCTAAAAGGATTGTCTTTTGCAAGTGGCCAAACTTTAATCTTTTGCAAAGTTAGATTTATAAATCATTTTCATCTATTCTTTTTTTTTTTTTGTGTTTTTTGTTTTAAAATCTTTGCTATCCGAACAACTACTTTGCTTTTTTCTATAGCTGATTTTTAATTTTGCTTTTTTTTTTAATATTCAGCTTACAATTTATATAATAAAATTATACTGTTTGTTGGTTTCTTCCAAAATATTGATGGTTTTCCTATTTCAGGATTTAAAAAATGTAAATTTGATATCAGATTCATTAAAAAAAGTGGGCATCGAGCATACTTCTCTGAGTGGTGGTCGTAGAACAGAACGGCTAATTGATGAGTTACACAATGGTACTCTGCGTGTTATTATAGCAACGGATGTTGCTAGCAGGTATTTCTGAACTTTATATCCTTAAATTTGCATAATATTTAAATAGGTGAAAAATTGAATTGGAAGATGTTATATTTTGAATTTTGCTGATCTATTTAGAAGTTAAAAATGATTTTGAAAATTTATGTATGAAAGAAAATACACAAAATGCAGAGAAAATATTTTGAAACTTTACAAGTTTATTATTTCAAAATTTATTGAGAAATTTTATTCTTTATGAAAATTTCAGAGGTTTAGATTTTCCTCAACTAAGGCATATCATTAATTACGATTTTCCGCGGCAAATATCAGACTACGTCCATCGATGCGGTAGAATTGGTCGTATTGGAAGTTTGCATAAATGTCTAATGACATCATTTGTCCGACGAGCTTGGGAAGTAAAGCATGTGAATTCCATTGAAGTTAGTTTTTTCATATATGGGAAGAAAATTTCTCCTCAAATTTCATCTTTTTTTTCTTCCTATAAAGTTTTCAAATGAGGAGAAATTTTTTATTTTTTCGCTTTAATAATTTAAGTGTTCCTATTGTCGATTAGGAAGGAATTGTTCAGGAATATCATTTTGCACTATCATATTAATTTTCTAGATCTAATGATCTAACATGTTAGCTTTCTAGAACATTTAGTATTTTTTTTTTTTTTTTAAACAACATTCTTACAATCTTTAACCGTCTTTTGCGGATAAAATGCTTATGAAAAAAAAAAGGGCAGTTTTATTTTTTGTATGAAATGAAATTCAGTTTTGTGAAACTTCAATAACAGAAAAAACAAAAGCTCTTCTCTTTTTCTTTTTACAAAATTGTCAATGATTATGGACTGTTTTCATTATGAAATGTATAGATTGTTTCATTTGCTAAAGAATTATCTATTTCGGTTAAAAAAAATTATTAATTTTTAGTTGGCTGCACGACTTGATCGACCACTTGAAGATGTGGAGCTGAATGATCCGGCAAGATTGATGGGTTTGCAGAGGAATTTAATTTCATGATATTTACTGATTTGCTATATTAAATTCATCTTGAATGTTACATTTTTTTTTTTTTTTGTTTTTGATAAATTATTTCCTTTTCTACTCATTCTGCATTCACTTTCAAAAAAATTACAGAAAGAAATTGAAGATTGTAGTGAAAAAATAAGCTTAAAAAGAATGAAACAGTTATAAATAATGCTTTGTAATGTTAATTAAATCTCTCATTGGTTAAATTATTCAATGCATTAGAAGAGAATTCTTGAAAAAAAAAAAATGATCATATCAGTGATTTGAGTAGTTATTTTGCTCATCATCCATATTTTTAGCATCCCAATTTCTTTCCTATTTATTAAAAGCAAATTAAAAAGAAAGAGAGAGGGAGAGGGAGAGAGAGAGAGAGGGAAAAAAAAGAGGAAATTGAAAAAGAAAAAATCACATTTGTGATTAGAATTGATGCAGGAAATTCATATATCTTTTCCAAGTGGAAAATATTTCATCTAACTCTCTCAAATATATATGTAAAAATATTAAAGAAATTCAAAACATATTGCTCTAATTTTTACATATTTCCGTTCAATTATAGAGGAAGAAATTTCAAATTAAAAAATTAAAATCATTTTTCAAATAAGCATTTTTCTTTTTTGAAATATTTTAAAATAAAATTAAACTTTCAAACATTATTACTTCATTAATATCAAATAATATAATTGTAAAATGATATCAATGCAAATGAAATGTTTATCATTTTATCAAGATTCAATATCATTGCCAAATATTTTATTGCTATTTTTATGACTATATGTAATGAAAATTACCTTTTGCCAAATGGAATGTAACTAAAAAGCTGTTTACTTGATGTGTTTAGTGTTTGATGATTGGGAATGGAATGTGAAACAGAGTGGATTGAAACATTTTTGCCTTTCTGTTTCAAGGACACTTATCTATGTGATATTTGATGAGAGTTAGATGTTTAAAAAAAAGAAAAAAAAAAGATTTGAAATGGAAAAAAGAGAAAATTTTGCTTAGTATAATTTTTTTTTTTTTTTTTTTTACTTTTATATTATTATACTAGCTTATATAATTTCTTTTTATTTTTTTATTTGTTAAATTAAAAAAAAAGAAAAAGAATTAAATATATAAAAGAAAAATAAAAATAAAAAAAAGAAGCAACGGAGATTTATCATTTATCAAAATTTTATAATTTTTATCTCTTTTATTTGTTAATTTTTTCAAAAAGCAAAAGAAAAAATCAAATATAAGAAAAATAAAGAAGAAAAAAAAAAGATGTAAAATCATTATTTATTAAAATTTTAAATACAATAATTAATTATCCATTATGTTTTACCTTTTTTTTTTTTCTTTCATATCATATTCAAATCATATTAACTAATAATTGTTATCATTAATGCAATTATGAATAAATACTCAATTATAAATTGATAACAGATTACTAGTATTTAAGTTCTATTTGAAAAATAAAAAATGGTTTGAATGCTTTTAATTTAGATGATTTTAACAAAATGGTTGACATTTTTTATATATCATATGACATATTTTTGTATTATACTAAAGGAATCGATATTGGTACCATTTAGATTATAATGTCATATACAAAATAATATACCTAAATATCACTAATATTTCTTCATTCTATCATTTCTATCAATTTATTACCATTATATCATTGCTATCATTTCTTCAATGTACCATCATTGCTATTCTTTAATTATTGCACCGTTGCTACCATCATTGCACCATTGCTACCATTTTGATCATTGCCATTATGTCACACTAGTGCAATATAATTTTTTTATATTAATATAAAAGCTATGGTGAAAGTGGTGCTACCACGGTATTATACACATTCTTTAATGGTACTTTATTAGTATCATTATTTATTTATTATTATGATTATTGTTATCATGATTATTGGCATTACTATTTGCTGTTGTTATTTATGATTATTATCAATGATTATAATATTAAAGTGTTATAACAAAGATATTCCAGTTATTATATTTATTTGACCATTGTTTTCCTTTCACTAACAAATGACAATTTTGATCATTGCCTCTTCTAATGAAACGATTATATCACTGTTGCATAAAATATCCTTGCTAAGATCATTTTTTGAACATATATTGTTATTCTCCATCATGATTACCATGATAATTACTGCTATCATCGCTATCATTGTTATCACCGTCATTGTTATCATTGCTATAATCATAATCATTATTATTATTGCTTTATCGCCATCATTACCATTATTTATCATTACTTCATCACCGTCATCGTTATCATTATCATCACTGTAAGCATCATCATTATCATAATCATCATTGCTTCATCGCCATCACTATCATTATTGTTATCATTACTTCATCACCGTCATCGTTATCATAATCATTATCATTCATTATTATCATTGTTTCATCACCATAATCGTTATCATCATCATCAGCTGTTTCTGTGATTTTTGTTTCTTGCCACTGCTTCCTTTCCATTTCATTTCATCGTCTTTTAGCAAGAATGTCTTAGGAGACACATACATATGCATACACAGACATGCATACACACACACACACACACACACATACATACACATACATACCACATGCATACATACAAGTTTTGTTTGTAATATCATCAACGATAGCACCGCCAGATTGACTGTCCCCTGTTGTTTCCCTCCGCCAACTATTGATGATGGCGATACGATGTGATTGTCATCGTCGTCATCTTACTTACTTACTTACTTACTTACTTACTTCTCTCTCTACCTACTGTCATCAGTCATTTGCAAATTTTACCATCTTTTACTTTCAACTTATTTTATCCCACATTGCTTTCTATATATTTTCAATGATTTTTACTGATTGCTCTAAAAAAAAAAAAAAAAAAAAAAAAAAAGACTTCCAAATATGCTTAAAATTTTTTTTCTTTCTTTCTTTCTCTCTTTCTCTCTACGTCTTCTTTCTTTCTTACTTTATTTATTTCAAAAAATTTTTGAAAATTTCTTAATTCCTTTGACACAGTGATATACATCTATAATTGTAAATTTGAAAATGAGATAATAACGATTAAATCAATTCTCTTTTTTCCTTTTTTTTTCTTTTTCATTTATCATTAAAATTTGCATTTAATGATAAAATTGTTAACTAAATGATAAATTTTTTTGTTAAATATTAATCAAATTTTTCTTTTTTATCATATAAAAATATATTAATTCAGCATCTTTTCCATTGTTTTGTTGATTAATTCTCATTTGATAAATTATCATTTTTACACTAAATAGCAAATGATGTCAATGTTTCAAAAAAAAAAAAAAAATTATTTTTTTATTATCGAGAAAATTTACAAAAAAAGAAAAAAAAAACAATCCCATATTTTTAACTTTTTTTTTTCTCGACAAAAGGAAAAGAAAAAAATTTCAGTAAATGTAAATTTCAAGTAAAAAAAAAAAAAAAAAAAAAAAAATGAAATGTTTTACATGTAATTTTGTAATTTTTACATGTAATTTTTTAGCATCATTTTTTTTATATTTCTTTCAATTTCGTTTTTTTTTTTTTAAAAAAAAAATGAAAAAATTTTTTGCAAAAAAAAATGTAAGTATTGAAGTATAAACGATGAGCAAAAGGAAAAGAAAATAAAAATAAAAATAAAAAAATAAAAAAACGAAATTAGAATTTTCTTTTGATGTAAATACAATTGTGAATGGATTTTAATAGTAAAAATTTTAAAAACAAAGATTAAAAAAAAAAAAAAATATTTTTATTGCGTATTTACGCATCATTGATATTTTAGGTGGAATTTATTTAGGTCAAAAAAATTTTTTCCTTCTTTCTCATTCAATAAACACTCATCAGAAAAATTTCTTTTTCTTATAATTCATATATTTGCTTGACATTTCATAAATTTAAAAAATTTTTTTTTCCTTTTCTTTCTTTTCTAATTTTTAAATTTTGATCTGTTATTAATTCTTTCTCTCTTTTTTTTTCCCATTTTTTGTTTTGTAAATTAAATTAAATTGTGAAATTATTTATGGTAGTAAAGGAAAAAATTAAAAAAAAAAAAAATATTTTATTTGAAGTAAAGAGTGAAAAATTTAGGATAAATTGAAGTAAGAATTTGAAATCTGAGAGATTATTTTTGCATGATTGTATATGCTTTTGCTGATAATTTATATAGTTAATAAAATTCTTCTAAAAATCAAATTTTTTTAAAAAAAAACTAAGTAATTAACTTACTTTACTTACCTATTGTTTTCTTCTTTACTATTTGCTAAGTGATCTTGTATATTAGAAGCAGTAATTAATTAATTAATTAATTTTTGTTAGTGAAAAGGGTATTAATCCAGGAATGGAATAGATAGATATATTGATAAAATCATACTAAAACAAGTTGAAATTATCAAAGAAAAATTGATTGAAGCAAAAAAAAAAAAAAAAAAAAGAAAAATAAATTTTTATTAATTTTGATATTTCTATTTAAAATCAAAAGGAAAATAAAATCATAAAAAAAAAAAAAAAAAGAATTCCAATATAAAATTGTTTAGTTATTTTTTATTACATGCAAAAAATTTTTGATTATTTTTTATCATTTATTTTTAAATTTTATTTCATAAGAATCATTTTTTTTTTTTTTTTAAAAATTGTTAATGAAAATTTTCTATTCTATTTTTTAAATGAATCATTTTAGTTATTTTGTAATCTAACGTACATATCTAATCTTGATCTTAACCGTATCCTTTATGATAAACGAGAAAAAAAAAATTGAAATGAAATGTATCAATCGTTATTGAACTTTTTTTTCTTCCTATCGAATAAAAAATTTTTTTCATTGCTAATTTACATATCAGATGGTTATCACATCTATCGTTTATTTGATGGATAATAAAAAGAAGAAATGAATGAATGAATGATTGGGAAAGGGAAAGGAAGCATTTCTCAATCAAAATATACTTTTCTTTCTTTCTTTTTAAGCATCATTTTTTTTTTTTTTTTGGATTTAAAAAA